ACGCTTGTGGCTTAAAGATAATCCTTCTAGATGGTCACTCACGAATTAAAACCATTAGGATTTGTAGCAGTAAAAGCAGATTTTACCTCTGCCTTTTTCGCGTGTAGTGACCAGTCTTATAGAGAAAATTATTCTTTGTCTTGTCATCATTGTCTAAATCTTCATTCAGTGACCCTGCATAATCCTTGTGAGGATCACTTAGCTGATAAGTTGTCAGGGCAAATGTCTGAAATCATTTTTGTGACAACTCAGATGATTTCCATTTAAAAAAATATCAGCTGACACTGCTATCGCTATAACGCGACTAGAATTCGAACTTGGTTCTCCGAGGTTCCATTTCACACACATAGACACATTCAAAAAAACATACACAAAGAAAGAATATAAATACTTTAATCTATCTGTCTGTCTGTCTATCTATACACACACATACATGGAGCAATCTCTATATTCTTACGAGAAAGCTCTTCTGCAGGAAGTGAGCATTTTATCGGTCCCGCGCTCACACAAACACATACACATAAATAAAGATGTCGATAGTGTAGATATAGGAATCAACACAGCAAAGGAACTGCCAGTTTTACACGTTAATGCGCTCTTTAGACTAGGTGTCACAATTCATTTATTTATATTATATAGCCACACTGATGTGTATATAGGTTATAGAAACCTCAACAGGGAGCTGAAGATATATATATATATATAGCCACACTGATGAGCTGTGGATGACGATATATATATATATTTAATTATATTCATTGAGTCTGATATAAACCTCAACAGGAAATAGAGGAAGCACTGGACGGCCGTTTCGTCCTATAATTGGGACTGATCAGCATATATATATCCACCACCGAGTATCAAAATATATGATAGTTGGGTTGTCAAGCAGACAACATACCAACTGTACCAAATGAATCAATTAAATATAATTATCAAAATCCTCCTACTTAAATTAAATTATCTGTAAATTTAAATCTTCTTTGATATGGAAAAAATAATCTTACTTAATATGAACCCTTCTTCTAATGTCTCCAATGAAAATTTTTAAAATTTTAAAGGCTTGGTTAAATTGAATGAATTCTAACCTAAATTTCTTTTAAATAATACTACACGCATTAAAAAGAATCCAAAAATAACACCTATAGTAAAATAAAATTAATATGAAATACCATAACATGTAGTCATGTGGCTTTATATATAAAGAAAAGGGGGCACAGTCCTATGGTTATATAAAAGAAAAGTTTACTGAATCAAAATTAAGTAACCATTTGCCGTCAAAAAAAAAAAAAAAAAAAAAAAAAAAAAAAAAAAAAAAATAGTGAAAATAATCTCATAATTGAGTTCCGCCACGGAATATAGTGAAATAAAAATTAAAAAAAGCGAAATCGGCGCTAAATAAAAAGTGAGTCTGATATTGAATCTTTTCCGTTACCAATTTTTTTTTTTTTTTTTTTCAGACCCATTTCAACCGACGTCAGGTTTCAGTTGATATATATATATATATATATATATATATATATATATATATATATATATATTTAAAACCCGGTAATAATAATAAAATAATAAATAAACTAATAATTTATTTGCAAAAATAAAATTAGTTTTAGCTCGATTTTTGAAACATGGTTGGAACTGTGTAGCGAAAATAACCATATTTTTAAATCAATTAATTTATAATATTAATGCTCTGATTTACACGGAAAAATCCACCGGATCTACGTTCTTTCTTTTTAAATTTCGATTATATATACTAAAATATATATATATATATATATATATAATAATAATAAAGTGCTCGACAAATTTTTAATTGTATTACATCTATCTCTCTCTCTCTCTCTCTCTCTCTATCACCGAAAATATGTAAAAATCACGACACAATTGCAGTCGTGTTTCAATGCATATCTGGATATATATATATATATATATATATATATATATATAAGATAATACTGACAGGAACATCTGTTTTTTGCTTGTACGCAATCTTCAAGACTGAAGATTGCCTGAAAGCATAAAACAGAATATAGAGCATTTCAATATATATATATATATATATATATATATATAAATGATAGAAATTATTAGGAGGATTTAATAATTATAATTAATCGAGTCTGGAAGAAACCTCAACAGAATGCAGACGACTGCGCACATTTAAGGATGTGCAATGGATTGCTAACACATTTTGTCGTTAATCTAAAGCTTTCATTCTATCTGCATAAAAGACAGACCATATCAGTAACAATTCCTCAGCCGTTGCTCTGCCGTATGAAACGATGTTAAAATGGACAAAGAAATTGAGTACTGGTTTGGAAAGTCTAGGTTTGCCTTCGAGAAGGTCAGTTGGAAGGTCATTCTTGCGTTTCAAAGACAAACTCAAAGACAATCTGAAGTGATGCAACAAAGGACCTGGCGCCTGTCCTGCTTCTCATCTATACAAAGTTTTACCCGATAAACGGCGTACAAATATTAAAGAATGTTGGCTGTAGGCAGTTTCTCTCAGTGACAGCTTTACATGCAACTGTGGCTTTGTTGCTGTCCATTCGTAGAAACATGTGGCGATTGATCTTCAACCACTCGAGCAAAATCACTCAACCACATGTTCCATCTGTCTACAAGTTTTTAAAACACCTGTAGGCTTCGGAAGACACAGCGTGTCCATAGAAGTTGAGCGCCTCTTCATTTTATTAAGCCCTCATCTATCGTCCGCGACGAGAGAGTCCACTATATATATATATATATATATATATATATATATATATATATATATATATATATATATAGTGTGTGGGAAAACGAACTTTCGTTCACATACAATTTTTTAATTTATAGTATTTCCAGCTAATGAATAAACATACTTTTCATATAATTAATTGTACACAGATTTGATTTAATAGAAATAAATTCAATTTATCTTTTTTAATAGATGAAAAAATTATTCGTACTATACAAAGAAAAATATATAATCTTCATTTAATACTTTGTAGACTAGCCATTATTCATTTTTACAACAGCCAACCTCTTCTTGTAGTTTTCAATTAATGATTTGCAAATTTTTAGTTGGTATTTTGTTCCATTCTTCTTCGCATATGGTCTTCAGAACCAGGATTTTTGTTGGAGCTCTCGATTGGATTTGAAATTTCAAATAACACCACAGATTCTTGATTGAACTTAAATCTGGGGACTGACTTGGCCATTTCAGGATATTTACGTTACTTTCAGCAAGCCATTTCTTTGTAGATTTTGCAGTGTGTTTAGGATTATTATCTTGTTCGAAGATCCAATCAGGATTTTCAACCAAAATCATTAAATTTTCTTCCAAAGTATTTTCATATGCTGTGGAATTCATTCTACCATCTATTACTAATATGTTTCCAGTACCTTTTGCAGAAAAAAACCCATCCCCAAACCATGATTCTGTCACCACCAAATTTCACTGTTGGAACTGTGTTCTTTTGTTTGCAAGGCATCGCCATCTTTCCTCCATACGTGATTTCTAGAATTACGTCCAAACAACACAATTTTGGTTTCCTCTGTCCATAATACTCTTTCCCAGTACGATTTTTCCTTATCCTTATCTGGCATCTCTCTGTCTTTTCAAATAGAAGTGGAGTTTTCCGATAGGCGTGTGATTTTAGATTGTTCCTATAAATTTCATTGCTTATTATCTGTTTAGTGACACTGGTTCCTGAGGAAAGCAAATCATCCTGCAACTCTTGACGAGTAACCACTGAATTTTGTTTAATTTAGCGCATTAATTTCCTCAAAGATTTTACAGAAATCTCCCGTGGAGCACCTGTTCATATTTGGTTTTCAACAGTTTTGAGTTGTTCATACATTGAAATAAATGAACTAATGGTAGTAAATGGAATATTCGAATTGTCTGAGATTTTCCAGTAACTTTTACCTTCTTTCCAGAGTTTAGCAATCACTTCCTTTTGCGAATTTGTCAATTTTTTACTTCTTGCCATGACGAAAACTTCTTGCATGAATATCAATTGCAAAATGTTCTGTTTGTATTTTTGTTGCTAAGAATAACTACTGATAACATTATTGGAACATTCTAGAGTATTCCACTTGAAATTTTACAGTATTAAAACAATTTAAATTTTAAAAATCTGAAATTTGCATAGTACGAATACTTTCTTCCCTTATTAAAATGGATAAATGAGATTAATTAATCAAAGATTTTGAGTTTTCTATGCATATTTAGTTATTATGCATCTTTGTACAGTTGATTATATGAAATGTATGGTTATTCATTAGATGGAAATTTGTATGTATATGAATATTTGATTTCTCTTACTGTATATAATCAGTAGCGACTCCGGCGGTCAGGCTTAGCCTGAGTGAGTCAACATTCAAGTATATCTATTTAAAAGCAACTAAAATCTTTCGTAGTGCATCTTTTGAATACTTGATTTCAGCTGGATCCAAAAGTGATTATTTTAACACCGTACCTCAAAATATTGATCGAAAAATTTCGTTGATACTTTTCACAAGAAAGAAGGAAAGAAAAGAATAAAGAAAGAAAATAAAAAATGAATGAAATAAAATTAACGTAGCTAGTCAGGCTGCGTAGATCTAAGCCTTATTAAGCTGGAGACATACTCAATAGGCAATGTACTTCTCGCTTTAATTTTATAAATAATCTTTTAACAACCTCTACTGACTTGTATACCCTGTTTTTCAAAGAACATATTTTTATTTCAACTTATTGTTTTCAAATATCTATTTTAAATAATTTAATCCGTACAGTATAATGTTTTTTAGTAGAATTTATCAATTGAAAAAGAGCCAATTAAATTAACCAGACTTACAGTCGACGAAAATCAAAGAAAGTGGCAGTTTTAGCTAGTTATTTGGGGGGTTGTAGCAAGGAGTGTGATTGGAGTAGTGTTGAGGAAATATGATATCAGCCAGACAGAAAGATACATAAACACATTAATTAGGTTTATGTATACGCACATACGTACACTGACCCACAGACAATGTTCTTAAAAAAGAAAGACACATCTATTTACACCCTTAGCCTCGGTGAGTGAAATATGCATTTCTAATTTCAGATCCTACAACAACTATTCTGATCTCAGTGACGTGATAACCAGGCTATAAAACAATAAAAAATTGAGAAGGGGACAAATATCTGAAAGACTTTGTCTTCAATCTTTATTCTTGCATGTGTGGAAAACATTTTTTTTAAAGACAAATGTTTGTTTTTATAGAATTATTACAATTATTAATTAAATACACAAATGTGTTTCCTTTTTAATTTTATGCACAGAGATTTTTAAAAATGATATACTGGAGAAGAATTTAATTTAGTTTATTTTTTAAATCTCATAACTAAAACGAAATTTCAAAATTTGTATATAAGTATGTTAATACTATAATTTCTGGAAGCTTCTAGTACATCCTGGGACTTTCTGGAAGCTTCTAGTACATCCTGGGACTTTCTGGAACATTGTTGATCCTGTTAAAACTTCCTGGAGCATTCAGGAACTTGTTTTTGTCTATTTTTAAGTTTGTATTTTATGCTATAGCTATAATCTGTGAAATGCTTTAAAAATGCATAAGTACTATTTCATTACATTATTAACAAATTGAAAAATAAAGCTTCTGAAATATTTTGATTTTTTATCCTTATTGTGGATATGGGAAAATGGAATTATTTTATTTAGAGTTCTGATCTTTTTTCAAAAACTAAAACAAATTAATGCCCTGCTAATTTATTAACTTGGACCCAAGAGTTGTTGTTTTCTACTTTAAATCAAAGAAAATTATTATACATGATTAAAAAAAAAGTGAGAAATGATTTTTGTTAGAAATTTTTATCTCGTCAAAATATTTTCCTTTAGCCTTGATCACAAACTTTTTGGCATTCATTGCAAAGATTTCTCAAAGTATAAGTGTGATAATTGATCCCATTCTTTTTTCAATGACTGTTTTTAATTTTTTTTCACTCTTCTGTCAAGGTTCATGCCAGGCTAATTCTGGGGGTAGCTTTAAAGATTTGAATACATACATGCATATATATATATATATATATATATATATATATATATGTGTGTGTGTGTGTGTGTGTGTTTTGAACAATAAAAAATATTAAAAAACATTTTCAGACACACTGGGTTGTATATTTGATGTGGGTTCAAAGTTGGGACCACAGAAGTAAAACACGGAACATGGATTAGATGTGAGAAAGATATATTAACAACAGGTTACAGAGCTAGTGTAAGTGGAGCTTACTATATGTTAGTGTACAATACTGGTAGTCGTACGCGGCTGTCACTGTCTCTCTCTATGTCTCTATCTGTCACTCTCTAGAGTGCTATGTCGCCTACTTAATATAGGCCTGGAAGAGTCTATTGTGTAGGTAGTTTTCGGTCTCACAATGCCACCCTCCAAAGAGTTTTCATTTTGAAAAGGAGAGAAAAAATAAAACTGTTAATACTTTTTCCTCTTGGGATTTACGTCGAGCGGTTGAGTAAATTTCCTTTTCCTTCCTGAGCGTCGCACTTCAGGAGAGACTTGGGGCATGTTGAGTTCGAACTAGAGATCTTGATGCGTGAGCCACAGCTTTTCGCGAACCATCTGGCAGTTTATGCAACCTGCAAGCACCAATGCCGTACGAGCTTGCATCACTTGCGACTATGATGTCGAGACTAGGGCCGTAATGGGTGAGGGAGAGGTCTGAAGTAAGAGTTTTCTTGATCTTCTCGAATGCGTCTTGGCATTCCGGGGTCCATGACCATGGTTTGTCCTTTTTTAAAATTTGTGTTGAGAGGCCCTCTCAAATTTTGCATGTTCTTAATGAACCCTTGGTAAAAGTTAGCTAGGCCGCGGAATCTTTGTAACGCTTGAACGTTATCTGGGGCCGGCATGTTTCTGATCGCGTTGGCTCGTATTTGATTGGACGTCTTTTTTACGTAGACCGTAGGTGCTGCCCACTCGCTGAAATCTGTTTTTGACAGAATACCTGCTTGTTCGAGTCTATCTAACTCTTTGTTGCTTTGCTCTAGAGCAGCGAAAGGGACATTCCGTTTCTTTTTGAATACCGGTTGTGCACCGTCCTTCACCTTGAACTTAGCTTTCATTTTAGTACATTTCCCAAGGCCGCCAGAAAAAACCTGGGGAAAATGTTGTTTGAGTTCCTTTTTTAGATTTACCAAATTGGACGTTGTACTTTGTATCTTGCGACAAAATGTACTCATTGGGCAATCCCAAAGATTGAATTTTTCTATCCAATCTGTTCCAAATAAGTTAACTGAAGTTTTCAATACGTAGGCTTTGAGCTTTTTGGTAACTCCATTTAGTGTCACTGTAAGTATTACCTCACCTAAAATGTTAATCTTTTCGCCAGTTACGGATTTTGTTGTTTTATCCGTTTTTAATAAGGTCGGCTTGTTCAATTTTCGCCAAGTACGCCAATTAATGGCTGAAATATCAGAACTCGAGTCAAGCTGGAATTTAATGGACTTATTGAAAATATCCACTGTTACATATTTTCTTAAATTCCTATCAACAATATTGTCATATTGAGCTTGCCTAATTTTATTTTGGGGTTTTCTCGTTCTGTTGGCGTACCAGCACGACGTTAAAGTATGCCCACTTTTTATTGCAATTTTGCAATATTTTTTGTTCTTAACTGGACAGAATTTCATCCAATGCCATTTACCACAATGGTAACATGGTCCGGGCGGTTTCTTTAACCTATTTGGGTTTGGGTTACTGCGTAATTTAGGACATGAGATTTGCCTTTTGTCTTTTTGAGGGGAATAGGAGGTAGACTTGCTTCTGATTTTATTAATCTGAGTCACACCTGATTCCTCGATAGTGTCTGAGTCACGCTTTACAGATATTACTCTTTGACAGTACTCTGCCAGTTTTTGGAGAGTCAATCCTTGTTCGTTCTCAAGCTTGGTCAGTACCCGTCGTCTGACTTCGGCGTCTCCTGCTGATACTAGACCTTGTGCGAAAATCAAGCACTTAAAATCATCGGCAGTCAGTTCGGCTAGTTTAAAATCATTACAGAGCTTGTTTACCGATGCTGCAAACGTTAGAAAATCTTGCTGGTTGTCTTTGACTTTGTTCAGGCATTTCCAACGTTTGTGGAACAAGGTTGTATTAGGCCCGAATAGTTCCGATAGGAGTTTAATAGCCTCTGAAAAATCCAAGTCAGTGGTTTTCTTGGGTAGTATGAAGTCTACGAACCTACTATGTTCTGTAGTTCCCAGTTTTCTCAATAGTAGACGTACCTTTTTTTACTGGGCCATTGTTCACAGTCTACGTTGAAAATATCTTCGTAGCGCCTGTGAAATGCCTAGAACGTTTTGTCTTCCTCTGGTACGTATTCAAAGGTTTCCATTGAGTTGTAGATTATACTCTGGGAGAATATTGTATCTTTTTCAGAGTTTGAGCCTTTTTATGCATTTACGAGTAATTCTTTAAGTTGTTTCTGTTTTAGTTCAGCATGCTGAAGCGTAATTTTTTGAAATTCCATTTGTTGTTTATGTAATTCCAAAAATAGTTGTTGTCTTTCTTCTGATTTTTGTTGCTGATCCAAATTTAGTTTTAACATTTGGTCAACTGCTTTTTGAAAATCTTCCATATTTAAAAATGAGAGAGCTTTTTTTGTTGCTTTGAAACACGTGTACTAAGAGGAGGTACACAAAAAAAATCTTGATAGATTTTTGTTCCTTTTTTTTTTTTCAGAAAAAAATATGGACAGACAATTAGGTAAACTAAACCAATTATATGTGTTTAGCTTTTTTTTCCGTGCTTCCATTAATTTTAACGTAATTGAATAAATTTTTCACCACACTTATGTATTTTTTTTTACAAAGGTACAAAAAAGAGAAAACTCACCTCAGTGAATTTGAGGGGAGAATAATTTTATGCACGAGTTCAACTCACTTGCATAAAAAGAAATTTAGATAGTTTTTTTTCGAAAACTTGAGTACTATGGTAGTACTTCGGCACTAGTATTGCCAGTTTGTTTTATGAACAACTTTTTTTTTCTGTGTGTGTGAGTGTGTAGAAATTTTTCTCGTATGGGACAGACTTTAATATTCCGTAGATGTCGAATCGCTAGTTTGTCAATGGCGTTTGGTATTGGAATATATGTAGACGCTGGGTGTTGCGTTTAAATCGCTAATGTATTAATACCAGCTTAATTTCTCGTTCAACACTGCCGTGGGAACGAGTGGAGTTTCTGTGTATTTTTAGAGTACTGTCGCTATTGATATGGTGAGAACGAAATTCTCGAATCTTTTCCGTCGCCACTGTTGTGGGACTGGCAAGATATTGCGGTTTTTCGACGTGAATGCGTTTCTAGAATTCTTCGTCGACCCAGATGTGGGATTTGTAAGGTATTTAGGTTTCGCCGTGAGTGAGTTTCTAGGATCCTCGTCGCCACTGATGTGAGGCCAAAGTTGGGACCACAGAAGGAAAACACGGAACACGGATTAGATGTAAGAAAGATATATTAACAAGAGGTTACAGAGATAGTGTAAGCGGAGCTTACTATATGTTAGTGTCCAATACTAGTAGTCGTACGTGGCTGTCACTGTCTCTCTCTATGTCTCTCTCTGTCACTCTCTAGAGTGCTATGTCGCCTACTTAATATGGGTCTGGAAGAGACTATTGTGTAGGTAGTTTCCGGTCTCACAATAATATTAATATTTTTTTGTTTTATTATTTCAATTAGGGCCTTCGAATAGTTTCGGCCAGCATGGCCATCATCAGAACAAAAAATCCCTGCTTGTCAGTAGCAGTGAACTACAGGAGTGTATGACTGTTTCTGAAGAAAGTGAACTTTATCTGTAGTTTTCATATCTTCATTATCGTTCATTTTGGTCGGTCCTTGTGTTGGTCAAACGACTTTTTTCAAGTTGTTTTTAAGGTAGACGATGGGAGATTCTCGACTTTTAAGAATTTCCTTCTTGGTTATTTTGACAGTTTTATTGGTTGCTGGGAATGGGATGTGTGTGTTAAGTGTACGTTAACTTTTTAGTTCTTTGGGAGTGTGTACGTTGTGTATATGTGTATATATTAATATGAGTGTATGTATAAGTGTGAGACCTGAATATCTCTGCAGGCATGCTTGTCTTGTGTGGGTGAGAAATGTGGGTAGGGCTTGATTGATCGGGTTATACAATAATTCTATCTCTCTTGATAAATTTGTGTTTAAGCACATCAGAGCGAAGTGTTTTGAAATCCATTTGTTTTCATGTTTCTCTAGTGTTTTCTAATGTTATCTCTTCTGCCTATTTATATTTTTTCAATTATAGTGAACTTGGCATGGCTTTTAATATATATATATATATATATATATATATATATATATATATATATACACATATATACATATATATATATATATAAAACACCTACACACACACAAGCACACACATATAAACACACACACACGCGCGCACACACACACACACACACACACACACATATATATATATATATATATATATATATATATATATATATATATATATATATATATGTATATAATATTATCAATACCAAAATCCAGTACTCAGTTTATTTTATATTTTAAGACTTTAGCAGTTATTGTTACGATTATTTTATATTTTAAGACTTTAGCATTTATTGTTACGATTTATTGTGTGTCAATACATAAATAATTAAACTCTTGAAAAATATATTTCAATTGAGCACTGGGGAGAGATAAGCTAATTCCTAAACAACAGTAACCTGTGCTAATGCAAAGCTCTTCAGTAAAATGAATTGGAGCCCTCTGACTGATTGACGTTTGTTTACATTCGTAACAACAATACGCTGGAATTAGCCGCCTGCCTCTGCTGAATGATGATAGCTTAGTGGTAGAAACTCAGGCTGACACTGAGTTGGTCGGGTTTCGATCCAGGCTTGAAGTATTCGGTATTTATAGACGCACTGAGGAGCTGTGGAACAGCGAAATCGTACTGTCTGCAAATGGCATATATATATATATATAGGTTTTCAAAATAAGATACAAAATCCCGTCAGAGTTTTTAAGAAATTTTACATTTGTCAATCAAAAATATATATATATAATTTACACAGTTATTTTTTATAATTTTGTTAATAATTAATTCTATTTATTAAGCAAGCTAAAATAATTATTGTTTTCTTTTCTTTTGCAGAAGTATTGCCAGAGAAAAGGTGGAAGCAACGGATGTCTAAGATGAAAAGAAAAAACGAAAGATAGAATAGCAACAAAAAGCACCCCCTCCCCAAACGCTCACACACACAAAAAAAAAAAAAAAAGTCGAATGGGTGGCCAAGGTGAGAAATAGAAAGCAAAAGGAATTTTAGAAAAATTGTTACCAATTGACACATGAAATAATCTTAGTGAAAAAACAAAGTAATTAAGTCTATAGACCACGACAGCTTAATAGAAAAAATCCTTTTAAAACGAACAAAGAGAAATTTATAAAGAAATATATTAGTAGCTCGGACAATCGTCTGAAAGACACAATGAATTTATCAGGAATGGAAAATAATAGTTTTGCTTTTGAGAATGGTGAGGACTATTCCTATTTGTTTTATTATGAAGATGTTGAAAGACTTCGGTTACCATGGATACAAGAACCTCACTTTTTCTTGACCGTCACGGTCTATGGTTTAGCTTTCTTTTTGGGCATATTAGGCAACTCTTTAGTCATCTTTGCCGTGTGCGGTGACCGTAAAGCCCGAAGCGTGACCTCCTCTTTCATGGTTAGTCTGGCCGTAGCTGACCTAATGTTTCTGTTGGTTTGTGCACCGTACGAAACCTTCCGCTATTTTATGGCCCATACAGAAGGGGGCTCCCCCGTATGTAAATTCGCTTCATTCGTAGACATGTTATCGGCAGTTGCTTCCATCCTCAACTTGACGTCGGTGAGTGTCGAAAGGTAAGTTTCGCAAATTTTGTTTTTACTTTAAATTTAAATCTTATTTTCACTCAGTACTACGGTTTTGATTTTGAAATTAGTGATATGAAAGTGATCCGGAGAGTGAAAAACATTTCCAGTGACATAACCACTTTACCCAAGAAATTGTCTTGTCTAGGAAATTTAAATTCCTTGAAATGTAGTCTCAATGTTCGCAGAATCGTTCCCCAAATTAATGCGTCTGGCGAGAAATCTTTATGAGAAGAATTTGTCTTTTATTAGTTTCAGTGGACACTAAAATGGAAATTAAATGATTTATGCATTCCATACAACCATTATTTTAACCCTACCAAATATATGTAGGTATAATACTTGTACATAAACATATAATAGCCTGTTCTGATTTGCAGATCATTGATTCAATATATTGATTTTCGCGCTGAATGTCGAAGTACACAAATGGACTTTTTTTCCCCACTTTCTGTTCATTCTTTCGTTATTTACTTTCCTGTTCTTCTCGGTGGAAAATTGAGAAAAAGTCAGCAACACCTCGTAACTATGTTTTATTCATGAAAACAGTTTGTTGATATTAGCTGAAATGTTTTGCAATTTTATGCGATGCACAAACGCGCGTTATCATTAGCACACTATTTCAAACTACTTAACAGCCTGTTTATATCTATCTATCTATCTATATATATATATATATATATATATATATATATATATATATCTCTAACAGTCTGTTTATTTATCTCTGTTCATATCTATCTATCTATCTATCTATCTATCTATCTGTCTGTCTGTCTGTTTGTCTTTTCATATGTATCTAAACTGTTTTTCATATCAGCCTGTTCATATGTATATATGTATGAATGTATGTATGTATCTATCATTCTGTCTGTCTTTTCATATCTATCTATCTAAACTGTTTTTTCATATATATCTAAATCTGTTCATATCTATCTATCTATCTATCTATCTATCTACGTTAACAAATACCAAAAAAAAAAAAAAAAAAAAAAAAAAAAAAAACAAGGACTCTGATCTGAAATCGTGATTCTAATTTACACGCTAATTCAGAAGAAAAAGTTTCTTATTTGTCTGAAGATAGTCAGCTATTTATTGTTATTATTAAGTTGATTTCTACCGGCATTGAATACACACGATTTTTGTTCATGTAGGAGTGGGTGTCTGTTTATTCTTTACGTTATTCTCTTTGCTGTACGTATTCCCTTTTGGCAGACTTGACTTTTCACACCTTAACTTATTGCTTACTTTATCCAAGTATATATATATATATATAGATATAGATAGATAGATAGATAGATAGATAGATAGATAAACTCCTTTATCAATCCAATATTTTTTTTTACTTCTCATGTCGAAGCAATGATGCAGATTATGTTAAAAAGTGAATAAATTATTCGATTTTGTGTCTCTGTTTTTATTGCATTTAGGCTAGTTCTTCTCCTTTCATCGGACGTATATAAAATTTTGTTGAAATATTCTAGAAATAGTCTTCCTGTCTTCGCCTTTGTGACAATAGCTGTTTGTATATTTCATAGGATAATGACATTATGACAGACGATACGAACACAAGGCTGATAATGCACTAGAAACAAGCAACATTAATCTGGACAATTCATGAAATAATGCCAGTACTTCATATAAGACTTTTCGAAATCATAAGGAAGTCAGATAGTTTAACAGTTGAGAATGTCACACCCAGAATAATATGAAACCCGAATATTATACGGATTATTGAAAATACATCATCTTGGAATTTCAGAAAAACCTTAGGAGAGCAGAAGGATCACGGATCGAAATATTGTAATCGAAACATCAAATATGAATTTGGTATTTCATGAAATAATTAAAATACTTCCTGTTTTAATTTCAGAAAACATTGATAAATGTTCCTCTTTTTAACAGTCAACGAAATCTGGCTTTTGTAATGAATGTCTTCAATTCCCCAACAAAATCTTTTTTAAGCGATCATTTCGATATGAGTGATTCTAAAAACAATCAACATATTCATTGATTTGGAAAATTCTCACATGGATTCTTTTTAATATTTCATAGATTTCCCAGAGTATTATCTTCATTGTTATTGTTTGTAACATGATGTTTTGGTCGAAATATAATTCAACTTTCAGCTGTCTGAGTATTTTGATTGTTACGAAACTTAGTTTGGCATATAAAGCCAAAATAAGAAAGAAGGAAGATTGTGTTGCATCCATCTTCAAAATGAAGAAAGCCCGTAGGCTTGAAAAATCAGCATTTATTTATTTATTTGACCTTGGCTCGAACACTGAACAAATATTCATGTAATACAATAGATAACTATCTCACCCACCGAATAATTACATTTTCGGTTTTCAAATTCTTTTCATTTGTCGGCCAATACATTCTTCAGGGAATCATATTTTTGACTGAAGATATAAAATGAGGTATATATATATATATATATATATATATATATATATATATATACTGAAGATATAGAATGAGGTACTTTTCGCTATTCCACATATTTTTCCTCGAATTATATTCGCCATTTTGTTGTTGCTTTCAGCACATTGTTTCAATCAATATATCTGTCGCCTCTTTTAATGAGTATGCTGCATCCGGAGGTAATACTTTTGTGATAATTTTGTTAATCGGTGGTACATAGGAGACAAAAAAGAAGATGGATATTAAGTTATTTCTCAAGATTATAAGATGAACCTCTGATGAAAAATAGATAATGTATCAGTAAAAACAATAATAACGAACAATGTGTAAAGCTAAAATTTCTTTTAATTCCTTTCAAACTGATCTGTTGAGAGTTCATTTTTTGTCTCTCTCAACGAAACACAGACAGACATATACCCCTTCAATTTTAGTTTATTGACCAATCAATTGTCTGTTTCTCTTTACTAAGTGCTAGTGAATCAAGCAATAAGGCCAATTAGAGCGACAGGAAGACTGTTTTGTGTAAATCTTACAAGTACTGAATAAAACTTGAAACTCAACACTCTAAATTTTCTCTTAGTTCAAGGTTAGGATATATATGATTATCACCTGCTACAGATAGACAACCATTTCCACTTCGAGACAGGTATATACGGACGATGGGGGTTTAGACGAAAAATAGAATAATACGATGAAAAAGGCATGAACCTAATTTTCCTCAGCGTTACGTTCAAACTAGATTAGATTCTTTAGCAATGGATAAACGTTAAGAGAACGAGAATTCTGAATTTAAAACCGATGGAAAGACAACTGAACATTACTCCTTTATTTTTCTCTTACTAGAAATGAAGTTCACACTGAAAATTAAAACTTCTGTCTGTAATGAGTGCCAAATCATTGGTCAGAACTCAACTCAACCCATCCTTAAATACGGAGACAAGACTATATTTACTAGGATTACTGGTATGGATTCCGGGTTGAAATCCGGTACCAATAAATAACAAACGACAGGAATGAATATATGAAAATAATGTATTAACGTAACGGTGTTGAGCGGTCTCTGACTGCGCACGCCTCCTGTCGAACTCTCTGCATTAGCAGAGAGGAACCCGGACGAGGCTTTGCCGAAGGGCAAGGTTTCGTCCGGGGAGGTAGACAGGGCCTGAACCCGTCTAATCGGCTTCAAAAGGCTATTTTTTTGGCCGAGCCTACGGGCTCGGAGAAACCCACAATAAAACCGGCCTTGTGCCATATTCGTTTCCCGTGGGTGAAATGATAAATACCGAATGTATTAACGTAATAATACAAACTGGTAAATCAGGTTATTAGTTCCAAGAATACGGGTTAGTCGCAAAATATCTATACAGTCTTTGGTATTGAAGTATCGCTGTATGACTTCTTACTGAGTCTACGTGCTCGCTCACTGTGACTCCTAAAACGCTGTTACCTCAACCCCTCCCTCTTCCGGTTACCTGTCACTCTGGATTCATTCTTCGGTCTTGCTCTCGTCTTGCTCTCGTGTCTTCCCGTAGCAGTAGTATATGTATATACTGGGTGAGTCCATTTGTATAAAAAGGGGTGGACCCCTCAACAATTACCTTAATGTAAGGCATAAGGACACAATACTAGAGCATTCAGGGGATATTACAGACAGCAATTTGTTGACGATAAATCTACAGTAGGTTCACTAGTTACTCATCTATATTTCTGAGATTGTAACTATTTACACTATTGACATTATACGGCCTATAGTTCTCATTTTTATTGACATAAACGTTGACGGTTACACACAATTAATAAAGTGAGGAAGGAAGCCATCCCCGCTTCAATACTAGAAAGATCGATAACAGTTGCTGGATTTGAGAAACCTATTTTCCTGAAAAATTGCTTTCAGAGAAAAAATTTTATTTTTCAATCGACAGAATCACTGCCGTTTGAAATTTATAATACAGCTTGTTTAAAAAAAAAATTGACATAATTTTAAATTCAATTATCTTGAAAACTACTTAATCTAGCTCAATTAAATTGAACAGTTTCAGTGTTGCACATCATAAGTTTATTATGGGACCGATTTCATAATTGTTCAATATGTACACCGCCTGTGACACGGTACGCGTCAAGTCGGTAGTTAAGCTCTTGCCAAACACGCTGTTGCTTGTCTCCAGTAACATTATCAAGTGCCGAAGTGATTCTCCGCTTGAGTTCATCAATGCTAGCAGAAAGAGGGAGAACATAAATCAGTCCCTTCACATATCCCCATAAAATTTTGCATTGAAGGCAAGCTGTACAGTCTTGGGTGATTGTGTGCGAGCATATTCCAAGACTTCTCTTTGGGAGTGAACGGATTGACACAACCTGAAACCAGCACAAAAATAAAACATTGAATATAAAATCTTGATTTGTTTTTATAAATTCTGTGAAAATTTGAGGTTATTTTAACAAGAATTGCCAAATTTATTGGCTTACGAAATGTCAAATTCTTTTGGACACCCTGTATATACTGGCTGCTTAATTAATGATATGAAAACGGTTAATATTGCCATATTCCTGTTTTTTTTTATTACATATTGATCGGTATTTGAATTTTAACATGAATTCAAGATAATTTCTGTCAAGTGCCACTTATGATACACGCTTTCGATACATGACTGACGAGGCAAATTTTTTCCCCGCAGTAGGTTGCCATTTCTTTCTGCAGCTTTCCAAGCAGGGATAAAGTCTGCCCTGCTATTCAACCTGGTGGTTAGTGAATCTAATGAACTTGATTGGAATTCGAACTCCGAGTTCTTTACTCCAAGCCGTAATCCATTACAAAACTTGATACACATCTACATATACAGAAGTATATAACTCTTTATAGACACAAGGAAATATAATTTACGAATTTTTTATTAACCATATCGGTGTGTAGGAACATTTTGAAAATGAATGGTTCGATTTTTTTTGTCAATATTATTTCAGTTTGAAAGTCGATTGATCTAAAATATTTCTTTTCTTCTCTTCGTTCTTCCAATCCGCATGTGTGTTATTTGCTTCAATTCTTTCAGCCTAGCCAAGAGAAATCGTATCGTCTTGTAAGTTCAACTGTTGCTCAAACATTTTATGAAGAATTTTTGGATGAATGACAGAGAATTATTTTCTGCAATGTTCCAGCTGGAAATTTATAAAAATGTTTGGAGAAAGGTTCTAAATTTCGTATGACAAAACCTTAACATAAAAAAAAAAATTTCTAAAACATATTTTCTTAAATTTATGAATTCGTAGTTTATATGTCAAATCACAGCTGCAAAGGTGCCATTGTGACAAGAGAAAAATACTTTTCTACTTCCGGTGATGCTTGAATGAACCACCATTTTTTCTCTCCAAAAGCCTGCAGAAGGTGATGATATTTCTCGACACTTTTCAGAAGTTTATTAATGCATGATACTTAGCAAGTATCACACCCCCGTCTCAATACTGGAAAAAGCAATAGCAGCTACTGGATTTAAGAAACTTATTTTCCTGAAAAATTGTTTTAAGAGAAAAAATTGAAAAAAAAATCGAACTATTCGTCTTCAAAATGTTCCTACACATTTATAGGATTAGCAAAAACTTCGTAAACCTACACGAGCTTTGAAAATAAATTATAATACTTCCTTGTATTTATAAAAAGATATATACTTGAGTATATGTAGAAGTGTATCAGTCCGTCAATTGTCTTGAATTCACCTTACAATTCAATATACAGTGTAACCCGGATATAAGAGAGTTGTCGGGACCGGAGAAGAAGTCTCTTATATCCTGGTTTCTCTTAT